TAAACAACCTGAAAAACACGAAATACCACACGACTGGGCAAGTGAAAATGACAACCAGCAACTACAACCGTATTGCCTTCCTACGCCTTAGCTCAGTCATCTTCCGCTTAGACAATGTTAGATAATGCCTTTAATGGCATTTTCTAGACATCGATGCCAAAAAAATGACAATTCAAGTATCTTTTAGATGATAGAAGAAAAAAATGAAGATTAAAGTATCTTAAAGACGATAGAAGCCCAGCCTTAACATGCAATCAGACTGGCAAGTACATTTAAACTTGGTGCATTAAGGGTTAGTCCACTTTGCTTTGTTGAAGAAATGTTGCTGTTGATTCCACTGTCTACGAACTCAAAAGTCCACTCCATCTACCTCGCTCACTACGTGGGATGCTTGAAACGTCAGCGCTAACCAATAGCTTGAAACCATGTCCGCGATAATAAAAAGCACGATCTGTAAAAACAATTTTGATAGGGTAAGCTGAACTGCACACTCATTTCTCGGTTACATTCATTAAATCTTTAAACCAGAGAAGCATCAAACCATGTCTCAGTTGGTTTCATGTGTCCGTGGGTCTGTACAGGAACAAATCACAGAGGAGGTCAAAATGTGGTAAGAACATCAGTGACACTGGCAGCTGCGCCTTGTTCTTACCAAATTTTGACGTCACCGGTGATCTATTACTGAACAGACCCATGGCAACATGAAATCTACCAGTTAAGTTGATGGTAAGCTTGATTGTGTACCACTCAACACTGATTTCAGGGGAGAGTGCACAATACACTACTGAAGTAAATGAATCAAAATCTGTAGTAACAACAACAGCAACAGCGCATAACGAATTACGGGATAGAAGTTCGTGATTTGTAATAGGTCAGCCCTGCTTTATTACGCGCTGTAATTGCTCAAAAACAAAAATTGGTACGATTACTTGATGACTTTCGTTTTCACGCGCTTCATGGTCTCATTGGTTGCATGTGATTTTTATCGCTATTGCGATTGGTCGTTGTGGTTAATTCGCTATTAGTTCTTCGACAATCGATCAAAAACATTGCGATGAAACGAGCCTCTTTAAAAAATGATTGGTATGGCTTTACAGTCAATTATAACAAATTAGCAAACAGAAGGGGGTTATCAAATAAAGCTAATGGTGTATCGAACTTACCACTTTCCAAATTGAGAGCAAAAAACAAGGAATGACCACTCTGTACAGAAGGAAGAACAGCTTGCCACTAATAAATACAGTTAACTGTGAACTGGATGGAGGATTTATTCGAATAACACCTAGCAAGCAAACATGAAAATAAATTTGTTACATGCCGTTAAAGAAATGTCATTAAAATGACCCACAGCCCAAAGTTGTGGTCAACTGAATGTAGCATTTTGAAGCTATAGCGGAGTTAAGTACTCAATGCACAGTACTGTGTCTGTGTTTTCGGTGGGCCCCTAACGACTGATTTACAAAAAATCAGATGCAAAACTAAATATCAATCGCAAAGTGCTCTCGATTAACCAGTTGAGGGAACAGCAGCTAAAACTAGAGAGAGGACTTCTAGAGACATCAGTCCTGTACCGTCACATAAAAATGACGCCACTTCATCATCACATAATATAAAGTGCATATGCTATGTTGAATCAACTGAGTAAAGCAATTAATTTGAAGGGTGAATACACAAATTCAAGAGCAAAATGTGGCCAGATATAGCAATCAAGTTTAAAACCAGTAGATAATAATTATCCTGAATCTCACCGTTTTTCTTTATGAAGAATAATATAGTAACATCCTGAATCCTAGTTTTGAGACCTAGCTGTGGAAGCGAATTAACAACGAAATCAGACACACGTCTCATACATGATGACACGAGAAGCTCTATTTCTTTTCATAAGGGAAATTGACACAATTTAGTCTCGTTCTCCTCACAATTTAGTGAGGAGAAAATAGAGATTAGCATAGGAACGCGCGTAGACATGGAAATTCTCTTCGAATGTTCAACTCGACATCTCATTCATTCACTGTGCTCAATCGTGAGATATCGAGGTCAACACTATGTTCGTGATAAAAAAAAAACACCATTGCCCTTAACTGATAAGGAAGGCTTTGCCATTCATTTGCCAATCTGACAGTGGCGCGAAAGGCAAGTGACGTGTCAGCAGCTGATTGGCGATATCAATCACACGTAAAAAAATTACTGGAATTGTACACGTGTGGATTTACGACTTTTCACAGGGAAGGAAATCCTTTTTAAACATCTTGTAAAACTAATTTATTCGTGTAAAAAATATTTAGTTATAAGCGGCAAGAGTTAGCATTTTGTGCTCCAAAACTTACCAAACAGTAAACAAGAGGCACATAGACATGTTGATACACGTAACGAGGTACCCACTTTTGAGTCCATTTAATCCGTCTTATATCTGCTTCCTGACAAACAACATGAAACAAAATGCAGCTTCCATTAATCAGACTTTAGTCAGACTTAAATAAGCACACTTTAATAAATAAAACAACTATGTTAATTTAAGAGCACATTTGAAAGTCACTAGAGTGCACACCAGAATCAGTAAGATAGTAAATTTTGAGCATGGTAATAAAATGCGTAAACATGTTCTCTTGTCACTTCACGAGTATGAAGTCTGCACTCAAGCCAAGTGGCCCCCAGCTGAAACTTATCCCAGTTGGTATGAAGCTTGGTATGAAGCGACCAGCAGTATCATTACTCTCCCCTGAATGCGATGAGAGTCCATCACAAGGTCCCCACTCCTCCCCCTCCCCACCCCCCAGAATTTCATCAGGCTTCCCCAACAATTTACCTATGCCCATTAATACTCCTGAGTGGAGAGAGGCACTGTGAGAGTACAGTGCTTTGCCAAAGAACACAACACATTGACCCTGCCAGGTCTTGGACCCTGACCTCTCCACCCAGAGTCCAGCACACTATACGTCACAAGAGTGAAGCAGAGAGAGACCTCTGAGTTGACATGCTGTGATGCCTACAGGTCTAAAGTTCAATTCCTAAAGGTTTCATGGTCAAAATTTTTCAGTTGTTTCATGCCCAGAAAGCATTTTTCCTCAAAATCCATTTGCTATAGTACCCATTCATATTCACTTCAATATATTAATTTCAGTTTTCAAACTTACATCCTCAGAGGTAACAATATCAGGATCCATACCATCAATGTTAGTGTATGGGTGATGACCAAAAACATGCTGAAAATAGGTTCATAGTCAGTCAGTTTTGATAAATAAATTATAGTACACATGTACGAGAGATCTTGTAGATTGGAGCTCTTGATAAAGAATGGAAAAAGTCACAGATGCAATGTATTTCTTTTTTAACATAAGGTAAATCTGACCTGATAAATCCAAATATAGAATGATGCTCCATTTAAAAAGTCATGAACATGACCAACAACTCTCCAGAGTGTGGGGTGACTGGTCACAGCACAGTGACTAAAAGTTTCAAAACAATTATTTATCAATTCACTCAACAACCTTTCGAAAATGCAAAGATTTTGAGTCTGCACCATATTTTTAGTATTGTGGTCGCTACCCAATTATCAGATACACAAATAGTTTTAAAATACCTTAACTAATTTTACCACCCTAAATGTTCTTACAAATACAAGAAGACATGTTTACTGAAACTAATGAAACTACAATAGTCTGTAAATGGTTTGTCAAAAGCTGTTCAGTGATTTGTTTTATCAAATGTGGTGATAATGTAAGGATTGATAAGGAAATTTTTAAAGCTGATGTTTTGAGTGTTAGTCCTTTGTCCAAGTGAATGAGGAAGACCTCAAGCTCAAAACCCCAGCTTTAGAAACTCTAAAAAATGGCAAACTTACATTATCAACTCTGTTGAAAAAACCAAATTATTCTGTAATACCCTTCCTTGAAAGTGTCACAGTTTTAGAAACTAACTCTCTATCAAAATTGATTACTCTTGCAAGTGGTACTAATTGTATATTATCATTTGTGAGTGAGGCATGTTACTCTTACAGCCTTCCTCTTCTTCTCAAAAGAATATACTAGTAACTGGAAATTACTGAATTCTTAGGGAAAACTGAATGAAAATGTGTTGTGTGAACTTAATATAACAGGTCCAAAAGATTACCTTGAGTCATGGTTATTCACCAATCCAATCAAAGCACACATCCATCCCATGAAAGCAGCAGCAATGCATGACAAGAAAAAGTTGTGGGACAGCCAGAACATCTAGTAAAAGTAATAAAATTCATATACACCAGCTTGCTTGAGAATGTTATAATAGTAAGTGTTGTAGTCTGCTACTTAATTGATTGCATGTGTTTGTACTAATTTTTTTTCTATTTATCATCCTTATGAGACAATAAGATTCCACACAAGATATTTAAGCACAACTGTTTGTGTTTGAGTTGAAAGGTAAATTATTTATAGACAAGTAAGCACAGGTTTTAAGTTGATAAATGAGAAATAAGACTCTGCTCCCACACCATAAAGCCACAAAGGAATATGATATGAAAAGGAGTGTGAGAAGGGGGAAGGCAGAGAAGTATTCCCATTCACATAATATTAATAAAAAAAATCATGACCATGATTGTCATTTGTGAAAAAAGAGGAAAATACTGACAGCTCAATTTTTAAACAAGCAATTCCTCCTAAGGAAATAAGGGGTTTATTGAATACTACTGTCATTAGTGTTCAAAATTTAACTAACCTGCGCACTCCACATAAGAAGTAAAACAGCTGGAATTCCAATGTAACGTAACCACATCCACCCTGAGAACTTGGGATCCTATCAATTAAGTATTGAGAATTGACCATGGTTTTGAGAAAAAAAAATTCCAATTTTGGTGCAATATTGAATTCACACCCAATTTGTCCTTACCAAAAGCATTTATCTTGCCTGGATTTTGCTATTTTTATGTTTCAAAGTTTTCTGTAACCAGGCTTGAGTCACTGCTATCTGTTTATAAGAGTGAATATAATTGAAGGTATTGGGAGGTCGAAACATTTTTAAAATGCCCTTGCCTGCTGATGTTTGGAGTTACTTCAATTTCTTTAATAATATTAAGTGTCTGAAGCCTGCTTTACTGAAATGATGATACCATTATAGACAACATATGTCTTTATTTAAACTTTCAAAACAAGTTTAATTTCTTTTACATCTTGATTAATTCAAGACACAGTGAACTGTACCTGATTTGTCTCCTTGAAGTAGTTTTTGACACGCTCCCTCACAGTTTGGTAAAAGGGCCTGGAAAACAGAGCAACAAAAATGGTGAAAAAACATTTTTGCACAAGTATCACCTCATTTTAAACTTAAATTAATAAGAAAACATGCTCGCCCTAACTGTTGGTTAAGTTAAAAACTTACCCCCGCTCAGGAAAAGTGGGAAATTCATCTGAGATTAGGTCTCCAACATAATATTTTTCCAAAACCCTGAGGAAAAAAAAAAACCCTTTCTAGCATATTAAGTTTAGGTTCCTCTTTCAATAAAATATCAAATTACAAGTGGAAGTTATTATCATCTAAAGCAAATATGTATTACTAATAGAGCTATAAAAGCTTTCAAGAAACTATTTGACTTGGATCTTCCATACTAATTGACAAGTTTAGGGCAAGGAAGAGAGTCAAATACCCCATGCTAACTCTTAAGCAAGGCAAAATAGTAAATTGTGATACCCTTCTTTTTTGGCTAATCAACTGGTCAAATCCTTAATAATTCCCACCCATGTCAATGTTGTCGTGGCATTGGGAAGGGGGGAAGTCTTCTGACAAGGGCTTTAGAATTTAAATAAGATTTCTACTACAAGTAGCTCTCGGTACAACTGTATTATATCATCATTGTACAACAGTAGAAATAAAAGGATTTGTATAGAAAAAACGATGAAAAGGGGGATACATTGCTGATTCAAAAAAATTCACAACCGAGAGAAGGGAATGAGCAACAGAAGCAACATTTCTGGTAACTATACGTAACCGTTCTTTTACATCCAGTGTTATGTAAGAACAACATTGAGATTATATGCCCAAACTCATTTCATTTAAAACTCAAATCAGTCTACAAAATTGTAAAATGCTCTATTAACTAGCTGCAATTTTACAACGAGTGGTAAATATCTTGGCACGCTCTTCTGCTTTTTAAATTTTATTTATAACTCTCATTTATCTCCCCCTCTCCCTCATTTTGATGTCGCTTGGTGATGCAACATTGTTTGCCGGGAGAGGGTGAACTTTCCACTAAGCCATTAGACATGAATCAGAGGATTTCGTTTACTTATGTTAAGTGGAGGGTTGTCAATCTCCTCCTTTGGGAAAGCGTGCCAACTTCTTTTGCCAGAAGTTTCGATTGACCTGAGCTTGACTGATAGGAGGAAAAACGCTCCCTACCGGCCTCTAAGTAAACCATATCAAGTTCAAGTGCAATAGATTTTGGATCTGATATTTTCGTTTTAGCTAAATAGACGGTTAAATACCCCCAAAACTGGAAAAGGAAAGTAATTCACTAGCTGGACTCTTACAAACTTTAATCATTGTAGAACTAAGGTTACGTTTTTTTACGAGGTCATAAAATCATAATCAAATATAATTTTTTTCTTCAGCTTACTTCGAAACCGAGTCGCTGAAAGCGTGGTAAGTTTCGAACACAATGGTAACATCGCTTCCTGCTCCAATAAGTAGCATATCTTTCCCACCAGGATGTCGGTTGAGAAACTTACTCACATCGTATACCTAAAAGAAAAGCGTATTTGCAATTAAGAGGAGTCAGATCTAAAGCGTGCCCGGATCACGATCGCATAGCGGAAGTTTCCTTTGAACACAATGGCCTATTAAACTATTTTCACTATTTACCTTTCCGCGAACCGCAACATGTGCATTGTCCTCCTTATTCAAAGAAATCAGTTCCTTCCAAGTAAATTTTTTTTGCGGCGCCATAGTTTGAGAGTGCAAATGATATCTGTATGTAAATTGTTGGAGTTGCTTGACTGTGTTACATAAGTTTGCCGCTGTCGATGATTGGTTTGTTGACTCTCATGAGGACTGCATGCCGGATGCGTGAAGCCTAAGAAGGTCATTCAAGGGGACCACACAGTACTAACACTGCTCGCTCGACAGAGACAAGACCTCCGGTATTGGGAAAAAGAAAATGAGGACACTTTTTTTTACTAGATCGGATTACATCAAGTACAAGCTGTAAAACTAATTCTAAACAGAAGGAGTAGTCTGACATGAGGCTGGAAAGGATTTGACCCAACGAAATTTTTGACGGAGAATTTTGTGTGAGTGATCGACCCCTACAGCCACACAGCAGCTCTGAGGGTGGGGAGGGTGAGGAGGGTAGGGAGGGTGGGGAGGGGGACGAAGTCGTGAATTAGTTTGCCGGGTACTTGCGAAGGAACTGAAAATTTTACTTGGGTAACCATTGCCTATTACAAAATTACTTTATTCTCATTTTTCTGTAGTTGATTTTAGTCTAGCCTGCACAACATATCGTTCTTTGGACGGTACGTAAACACTGGCCCACTACCCCCCTTCCCCTCCCCCAATCAGTGGATGTAAGAAGGATCACATTGTTTGATGACCTGCTACATAATCCACTGTGCAATGAATTCTATCTCACACGCAAGACGTTCACGGGATCTAAGGGTATTCGGCAGCAACTAGCTTCCATCGGTCAAGGCATACGTTCCTTAACACAAAGTGATATCATAATCTGCTTATAAAAATCACAAGACTGCTGGGCACACGAAGTAAAGCTTATTAGCAAGGAATTCGTCATGTAAGTCTCCTCTAAGACAGAGAATCAGTCAAGTTAAGAAATTTAGCCTCGAAGCTGAGCTGCAATTTACAATTTTACAAGCAACTGGAGAAAAGAAGCCTGTATAAAATTCAAGCTGCAACGGGATTCGACCCGTGCCCCTCAGATACTGATTGAGCCACAAGGCCAAATATCGGGAGGGAGGCAAATTTTAATGGGTTTTTAGTTCTCGTGAAAGAATCTGATCACAATAGTAATGAAATCAATGTTATATGTTGCAATTGCAGTAAATTGTACCACATCTGCGAGGTATTTTTTATCTGAATTTCATCCGCTGGTGATGAGATTCATTAAATACTATTTCGATAGAGAACACTCTGGTTCTACTGTTTTATTAAAGGTTGATGGGGAATAAAATAATGGATAGAGAAAAGCGACTTGTATTGCAAGGAAATGTTGATTATAAATGGATCATTACCATATCGAAGGAATATCAAAATGGAATTGGAAATATTAAATACAAACGCTTGTTTTATTTATGTCTCTCCTTCTTTCCCTCGTTTTTTGTAAAGTGCTTTGCATTGAAGCATTAAAAATTCAACCCAATCAGATTCAGCGTAAAGTCTTCCGTGCACCAATGCGGTTTCTTCATTACTCAACTGTCAGTAACGTTAATGCTGCCGGTGACCAAGGTATTGCCTGTAATTTCTCAGGGATCATCGTTCGCGCCTCGAGCAACACTTTCTTTCTCACCTGAGAGAGTGAAAAAACAAGAACGGGAATCTTCCCTTCAAATTTTTTCTTTCGACGCCTTAACCTACTTAACCTACTACTTACGATTAAAAATGAAACCAATTTCGACTCAGATATATTTTCCTGCGATCCATTTAAATCCAACAATTAAAGAAATTAGTGATTTCCACATCCTGCAATGCACATGGATATGAGACAGTATACAGCCTTATGATCCATCAAATACTTTTGCTCACGCACGATTGGTCTTCACTTCACGCATTACGTGACCGAATATCCCCCCAAACTGGGTGATATCCGAGGATATCACTTAGGGGAATATTCCCCAATTTTCAAACCTACGTCCACTACGATAAGTCTTCATTTAAATTTTGATTCAAGATGAGAGAGCGTTTACTGGTTATTACAGAAGAAGGAAAATATTTGTTTGTTCATTAAGCCGTATCAGAGCACACTCAAAAGAAAAGATACCACGCAGCAAATAGAAAACTGTTCGAAACAATTTTTTCACATGCATTGCAGAATCATGATTTGAAGGATAAAAACACAATGGCCCTTTTTTTTTGCTCGAAAACATGTTCGTATATTTGTCCTTGGGTTCCTCGAAGCAAGTAGTTCTCCTCGAGTTTCGCTCTCGGAAAACTGTTTACATCCATCGAGCATATTTTCGCGCCAAATAGGGGCTACTGTTTATGTCAGGCTGCTCTCACTATGACGATCATTTCGCGCGCCAATTGAACTTGAACCAGCCAATGTCCGCTGCGAACAATTTTCCAATTTTAGTGCACCTGTGCAAAGAAACTCGATCTCTGCTTTTAGACACCTGAGGGAGAAAACAAAATTTCATTGACAAACAAGGGTAAGAAATATACGGAAAATGAGTATAATGAGCCAATATTCAAGCAAAATTTGTTCTGATCTTTTCCCTTAAATTTTCAAGAATTTAGTTGTATTTATTTGTCTATCAAAGACATACTTAACTTACTTATGTTGTATCTTGAAATAAATTTTATTTTTTGACATTTGAATGTTAGCGTCTTTAAATGATACTCAACGAACAATAATCATTTCATTATTTTTTTTTGTTATTATCCGATTATTCTAATGAAATCTTGACCTGATAAATCGGAATCCTGCTTTGTCGGGGAAATTAAAGACAGTGGCGAAAGCTCACAGTTTTGCTTGCTTAAAATAGTCGCCGTAAAGTGAGATATTTGTTTTCCATTTAAAACAAACAAAGAAGTTATTGGAGGTAAATTCGTTCCAGTCTCAGTTCGTGAATGAGGTCTTCTAAGACCAAAAAATAAATACATTTCAAATCACTGTTTTTGGCATGACTCCAGACACAATGAGGCCAAGTAGGGGCGCGTATTTCTTTTGACAAAAAACAAAATTACAGCCAATTGTGACATGCATAAATAAATTTGATCTCAGAGTTTTAATAATGGAGCAAATAATCACAAAACACGTCTCCCCGATCAACCTGTTCGTAATTTGCATGTTGGCAAAGCCGGCCGGTGCAAAGGTGGCAGTCCTATTATTGGAATACTCTGTTTTGTGGACAGCGATTGTCAATTCATTCGCTCTCTTTTATTTCAATTGAAAGAAACAAAGGAAAATAACAATGTTCTGTTGATAGTTGTGCAGCTTGTAAATTAAACGCATCGGTGGATTTTGAAACTAGCCTAGACGCGATCACAAGTTAGCCGGCCCCAAGCGGTCTTTACAAATAGAAATATTGAGTGTTTCCTCATTCTGAACGACGCCATAAGAGCTTGGATCTCAAGCATCACCACATGGATCAGTATTGCTTCATTTCCTCTCACCGATGAATTCGAATTGCTGTATATTCACGAACCCAATGTTGCTTATTTGATGTTTGGCAAAGATCGATTTGTTTTACACAGTGACTGCTGGAAGCCACAGCTCAGCGGGATTTCAGTTAAAAATTCGTTCCGCAAGCTCTCCTCAAGATGATTTACAAACGAGTGCTGTCTTTGAGCTCTTTGATAATCCTTTGGTTACAGAGCAGAAGCTTTATAAGTGGTAAATGCCTCCACGAATTCTCAGGTCAGTCAGCGTTTGCGCATGTTTTGAATAAGAGCGATTCGCTTTACTCCAATGATAGCAAGAATGTTTACTTGAACGATCAGACTTGTTAACACAGAGCAACACATCTTAGTGATTGCTACAAACTATTGATCATGATTTTCCGTGATACAGTATATTGTCACGAAGAGTCACTCTTGATTGAATCATCGCAACTATAAAGTAATTTAAACTCAGTCTCTACACGTACGTGTAGCAATAACATTACATTAACTCACGCGAGCCGTTAAAGATCTAACAGAGACCTTTATTTAAAAGCGTAGTTCAATCGCATTTAAACACGTTTCAAAATAATTCTCCTTTTTTATGTAATGAAACTTGTAATCGACGTTTCGTAGTAGGTTGATATACTGATCGAATGTTTCAACTTACTGCCGGCAGAGGTCGAATACTCAATACGACATTTTGTACACACGACCAAGCAAAGTGTTTTTGGACGAATAGGAGCACCACGGCCTACGTAGATTGCATATTTAAATAAAAATCGATTCTTCATAAACTGATAATCAGTGATCGTGTGTAGCAATCAATAACTAAACTACAGGAAACTGTAGCTGTTGGAAACGAGCCTAATATATCAATATACGCAGCAGCTGATCTTAAGAAATGTCACCTATCAAGATCGCGCGGACTGTGCAAAACCACAGAACACCAACTCAGTCAGGACAAAAGGAAGCACGTTTGTTTTCTTTTCTGTATTTCATAAGTCTTCTGCCCACTAAAACAGTGGGAAAAGAAACGCTGAAGAAACACTGAAATTATCCTTATCGTGGTAACGATAGATGTCGCTATAAAGAGTATTTCCGTGGCCTCGGTTGCGCCGGTGAATGCGGAATCTTTGCCAAGGGTCACGCTAACTGTTTTCGGCCTGTCAGATAGCTCAAATTTAAAGTAGGTCTAAAAGAGCAAAAAACGGTACAAAAAAAAACCTACAACAACTACGAAAACGGCTGATTCAAAGGAACACTTAGTAGAATATAGTGTAGCTGAGTGTGTAAACATAATTGTGATGTGTAAACATAATTGTGATGTGTAAACATAATTGTGATGTGTTTGGTTCGGGCCCATTGTCAAGAAATATTGAATAAAAATAAAGGAGGACTTTTTCCGAGTTTACGGGTTTATTAATTCTCGAAAGCTATCTAAATCCAATTATCCAGTCAAGCCTTGCACAGCTGTCTCCATGAACTTCTGCCGGCTGCCACTGTTTAGATAAAGCTATGTAAATAGGGAAGAAGTCCTGAAATCTAGATCAGGTTTCATCGCTAAGTTCAGAACAAGCATTTCACGTCAAGTAAGGAAAATAAATGGCGACGGCAGTATCAAACCTTCAATCATGTATCTCAATTCATCTTACCCTTATTTATTCCCCAACACGAGCAAGCGTGTTCTCCATGTTTTTCCCTGTAAAATTCCCATGGTACTGACAGGAGAATTTGTACATCAATCAAGAGGTTTTTTTTCAGATGGTGACCATTTCCTTTATTCTTTTGAGCTTAATGTTTTACTCAGTAGAGATATTGTAAGGAAAATTTTGATGCTAGTAACTCTTGGGTTAAGAGATTTTTATGGCTAATAAAGCCGATTGTTTAGTTTTTAACTCAAGGACGATTTTCGTGCTTTGACAAAAATTTACCCGCCTAGAGATTACCTTCAAGACCTTGTTGCCGTTAATTCAGCAACTGTCTGTCCTAAGGAATTGCATAAGCTTGGATTTTAACTACCGTAGACAATGCCGATATTCTTCTTCAAAGCAGGTCCAACAGAGAAACAGAAATTAACCTTTCAAGGAAAGGAGTTACCACTGACAATTTCCTATGGACATCGCGCTTCCCAGCAAGCCACTGCACAGCTTACTAAGATTTTACTAGAGGAAGGCCTGGGGTACGATGACGTCAAATTGGTACCCCGCTTTCAAGAGACTTTAGGAACTAATTGTGGGAATGCCAGGTAAAACAAAGTGCCTACAGTTAATCTCATGCAGTAAAACTTGCCCTTTTCTTAGTCTATGCAGAATCTACGCATCTCTTGGGCAGCACACTAGAGCTTAGTTGTTGCAGTCAGTACGTAGCTTAGCCTAAGTATCAGTTACGTATCAAAATGCAGTTGAGCGATGACTTGTAAAGAAGTGCAGCGCTTGTGTTTGTGATTATTTTTGCCTGTATGTCTGTCTATCTGTCTGGCCAAGGAACACCAGATGACTGGTCCATAAAAACAAGTGTGCTCTACAAGGGTAATTGTCTTTGTCAGTGTGTCTGTTTATCCGTCTGGCCAAGGAACATCAGTTGGTTTGAATACTTATTTAATTATCCCGATTACAGATTTTCTGGTGTTCCGCAAGCCATGATAGACACAGAGGTCTGGGTACCATTTGACCGTGAATACCCTGCAGAGAATGAGGTAGTGGCGGATGTGGGATCAATAGGATTCACGGGAAGGTTAGTCATAGGGAAACATCGGGCTCTTGGAGTCTAAGAATCCTAAGGCTGAAAAAGAAAGAAGCTTTTCCTTGATCTACTCTTTTTGTAGATGGCTGTGTCACGTCGCGAGTAGCAGATCGCAGCCACAATTTGCTTCGTGTGACCGTTAAAGCATGTTTCTGAAAATCTTTTTTTCCGAGCAATAGAATTTTGTTCCGTTAATGAGTCTCAAAACTCCAACCTGGTGTGATTTATGTGATATTCACGATTGCAAAATAATTCCCAACGACTTGCTTTGGAATAAGTACACACGACTCGTTTAACTGCAGCGAGTTGTCATCTAGAAATGTGTCGGCCCTTACTTACCATGATATTTACGAATTTTTAGAGTTTGTGTCGGTGGGTTATGACTGTCCTACTCTCGTGTAATTCAAAAAACGTCTTATTCCAGATTAGGCTGGTTTACAAACTCCTTCTTTGTTGATCGAATGTGGAGCGAACACCACCAACCCGCTGATCATTGGAGAGCCCTACAGCTTCGTGTTGTACTACAGGAACTTCCCCTCGCATCGGAACTGATCACATGTCAGGCTTGCATAGAAAACGAGTTCCATCCTCTGCAGTGTGTCCAACTAAACCAAAGTGGCGAAAATTGTGTTGCTCTTATGGCTGCACATAAAGGTGAAATTCAATAAAAAATATTTTCTTTCTCGTTGGGAGATAAAGTAGCTAGCCGGTTACCGCAACACAGCGGTTTTAAGCATGAGCTTGATATCACGGTGATTTTAATTATCACAGGTAATCTCAGTTCTTTTATGGTCGAGGATCAGATTTCAAGTCTTCGATTGAACATATCAGTGATATGGCTTGGAAATAACCTTACTTCCACAGTTTTGCTGAATGAAGCAAAGAGAAAGCCGTTACTATTTTATGCCTGGGATCCATGCCCTTTAACCACAGATGACAAATTTAGGAGGATTACCTTCCCTGGATGCAGGTAATCATTATATCCATTAACTCTATCCTAGAAGCGATATTGTCATTCAAATTCTTAGATTTGTTTTCCTTTTCAGCTTTTCTTCGAACTACATCGCCATAAACCACACGAATAAATATCATGGAGGATGCGATTTTCCCTTGTACGACCTGCGTAAGTTTGTTTGGAAGGAAATACAAAATCGTTACAAGGACATTTATGGCCTATTAAAAGCCATCAGCTTTACACGAGAGCAAATCACTGATATACTTCATCAGGTCGGCACAACACAAAACAGCGCGTTAATCAATGACTCCATGTGCCATTGGCTGAATAAATCACGCGATATTTGGTTGCCATGGATACAAGCTGAAACTACAGCTAAAAGAACTGTGTATATTGGAGGGATGTTTCCTAGTCTTGTGGAGGCAAAGGCTGTATGGTCAAGTCCGGGTGATGAAGTTGGAGCCCAACTAGCTATCCAGGAGATTAACAGAGACAAAAACGTTTTGGAGCGCTGCAGGCTTGAGCTACTTGTAGCTCCAACTCAGTGCAGAGGAGAGCTGGTGATTTCGGCCTATGTACGGTACCTGAATCTGCATCATTCAGAAAAAGTGATCGGTATCGTTGGACCAGCATGCAGCAAGGCAACACTTCCAATAGCTGAAGTGGCGCGATTTCACAACACAGTTCTGATGGGCTACGGCGCTGATGACGTGGCTTTATCCGATAGAACGAGATTTCCGATGTTTTTCCGAACAAATCCAAGCATTGACGAATTCAAGCTCGCATACTTATCAATTTTTCGAGAATTTGGTTGGAAGAAATGTGTTGTCTTGCGTGAGGCTAAGTATCCAGTAAACACGATACAGTCTCGTACAGAATTCCTGACAAAACACGGAGTTCAAGTACTGTCACGTGAGTTGCCGTCCGGTGAAGACCTGGACGCCAAGAGTTATGTCAAGAACGTTGCAGAGAGTAAACTGACGGTGGTAATGTTGGACGCCTACCCAGCAGTCACCAGGGCAGTGACATGCCAAGCATATAAGGAGGTATGAAAGTTTCCAAGCATACATAATGATTTCAGACGCTCATCACCTGTGCTGTATTAAAGGTCCTCTACACAAGTAGTTTACACTTAATTCCAACAGGTAATAAATGATCTCCCAAGGTGGCTAACAAACTGTGCATTTCAACAAAATGCAATTATTTTTTTTCAAAGAAAACCAGGCGGATTTCAGGCTCTTTTTTCTTTACCGTGCTCTAATCATTTGCCTAGCAAAACCCATCTTGATAAAGCAATCATATATTATCAATAAAAACTCTTTGGATACACCTTTCATAATCGCCCCATCGAAAAGCCAGAAAACAGTAGGTGTTTAGTTTACTGAATGTAGCGGTCCTCTAGGCTACTAATTTCAAAAGGAACGTAACTCGTTATTAAAGGAACTTTGCATCCCTACTACGCCAAGTACAGCTTTGTACACTAATTTTTCTCATACCTTTTTTCCTTAAATTTGATCAGGGTCTAACTTCAGAAAAAGGTTACGTGTGGTTCTTACTTGATTGGCTGGAATCTAATTGGTGGGACGTAGATTTTTATAACAGCAAAAGGCACGCCGCACCAGAAAGCGTACCGTGCTCTAATGATGACATGAAGACTTTTGTTGATCAAGGCTACTTCACTTTATCTTCTCCCTTTTTCGGAGATGACGAACAACTCGTTGAGGGAGGAGGAACTGTTAAACAATGGAAAGAACGATATCGATCTACCGTGACAAAGCAGGTAAAAGCACAGTGATGCAATTGCTTCCGTCGTTCGTCAAAGTTTCCTCGTGATTTGGTGGAGATGTTAGCCCAGACGAAGCAATATCACGTTATATACCATCAAAAATGCGCAGAGGTGAAGCAGGGGTGGTGGGTGCCTTTAGCCCTCTTAGAGAAGGATTTGTAACAACACACAAGTCCTATAAGCTTACTCATGTGACGCGTGTCGATATTCCTACTTTGATTCTCACTTATGCATCCCTTGCGAAAATCCTAGCAAAAAAAAACAGTGGCTACCAATATAAGTGATTTTAAGAGTGCATCTTATTTAGATAGATTTAGAGGAGCCATACCTTAGACTTCCACATTGCCAGGCTAGAGTTACATGCTGTCATGGTTCTGCTGCCTCCCTTGTTCAGTTTACCCTAACGTTATTTTTCTTTCGCAGAAAAAGGAATGGTCGGATTACGCATCGTTTGCGCATGACGCTGTGTGGACATACGCTGTAGCACTGAACCAGCTGCTCAAGAATGACTCCTCTGCTTTGGATAAGATTGATACCAATTCTACCTCAGCGTAAGTAAATTTTTATGTTATTTGGTATTACAAAATGTTTTACAGGTTTAAAGCTGAAACGGTGGTTTCCTAAAGACGAACGTAAACGACGCCAGTTTTAATGTCATGCAACCAGTAATACTTTGAGAGGTCTGTACGAAGGAGGGAAACAATTAACCCGCTCTCAGGAGTTTGATAAAGCACTTGACTGATTAAGGTGTGTAAAAAAATTGAGCCAGATTCATTCGTAAAAAACAGGCCACCGAATTAAGTGAAACTCTGAAGTCAAAGCTTGAAACAGCGATGCAATATTTAGATAACGTAGCAAACACGGAGACAAAGATGAACGAAGCTGAAGAAGGTTTAAAAGCCTGGCAATTGAGATTTTTAGATAAACTCTTTTGTTTAAAAATTTAATAGCCAACGTTCGGTGGTAATTTGGTGGTCATTCAAACGAAAGTTTAATTTCAAACCTCTAAAAAGGTACAGTTATACACAAGTTTCCCTTTCAGAGAGCACATGCCCGACTTGATATGAAGAAAAAGGCCTAAAAACCATCTCCAATACTAACAAAAAAGCCAGATTCAAACAATGATTATCAAATATTATCGAGGGTTAATATAATATGGTGGAGTATTTTACAATAAACTTACTGCTCAAGGTTTAGGTTCTTATTTCAAAAAAATGTCAACCTGATCATCTTTCGCTTCCAATTAATCAGAAAGTTCGGTCGCTATATACAGCAAGTGGACTTCTTGGGTGTGTCTGGAAGGGTTCACTTTAACAAAGGCGATCGTCTCTCCGACATTATCATCAAACAGAAATTCACTTCGCACTCCGTAACCATTGGAAACTTTATCCATGCCCACAAACCGAACGCAACTTACTCAGGAGGCCTGCAGTGGAATCCTAACACAATTACATGGGCCCCGGGAACAATACCAAGTGATGTTTTACCAGGCGAGTTTCTTCAGTTCATCTATTCTTTATTTTAAAATTCCAGAAGTAACCTCTAACTTTGAAAATCAATTGTGTTGTTGATAAATCCAAGAATTTCTTA